GATCTGATCATCTGACCGTTGATTGCAGTAATCCACATTATTAGCAGAAATAGAGGGCCCCAAACCAAATTTCACTTAGGGCCCCATGGAGGCTTGGGCCAACACTGAATTTTAGCTAAATTGATTAGCTTAATGCTAGCAGACATTGCTAGTGTCCCGCCTAACTTCACATCTCTGGGATGTAACTTCTGTTTTGTTTTTTTTGTAACTCATCTTTTTGTTTAAATTTATTCTGTCATACTACTATTTGTTGTCATAATAGTATAGTTTTAGTTTGGTTTGTAATGCTCCTTAAGGGTTTAGTGCAACTTCATCATCGCTAACTTGTGACATGTTAAGCAAACGTCATTTTCTTTTAATAGCCTAGACGTGCTGTTTTGGATTAAATACATTTTTATGCTGACTTAATATTGCACATTATTTTATGCAACAATATTTTTGTGATAAAGGATGTTAAACCTGGTGTTAAAGTGGAGCTTATAATTACTCTTAGTGAGATTAGTGGGTTTAGACTTGCAGAGCTGCCACTGAGCTGCGACGTGTGTGTCTGTCCACATTCTGCACATCGCCTGACTTCTTTATGTGATGTTTTCCTGCTTGTAGACAAATATTGGCGAGAGACGGCTGAAGTTTCCTGTGTTTGTGGAGGAGGACAGCTGCCACCATCATTCTTGGTGCTCGTTCCCATTCCGGACAACAGATTTTTGTACACACCAGAAACATACACACAAATATAGAGCTTTATATAAACATTTTTTATTTTTGCTGGTCAGCACCTATTTTCTTTTTTTTTTTTCTGCTGAGGACATTGAAGAGACTGCTTGGTAAACTTTATTTTTTTTTTTTTTATTTAAGGAACTGAGAGAAGGACTCTGTATTCAAAGAAAGACAAGTATCATTTGACACGGTTCATAAGTGTCTAGTGACCAACCCGAGTAAATTCTATTCCTTATTTACATTTTTTACATCATAACTTAAGCTTTATAATTGCATCAAAAGCACATTTGTTGGATTAGGAGTTTAAATACTGAATTGCTAAAGAAAAAACAGCTCAATTTTGTTACCAGTGCATTCATGTAAGCTAACAGTACACCTGGAGCCTGAAAGTTGGACTACAGCTGTTCTGACTGGTTTTCTCTGTGATTTTAAGCATTTGTCTTCTTAGTATTGCTGATTTTCTGCAAAACCAACTAAATTCTCTCAGCAGTAAAGTGGATTTCCTGAATTGTTTCTCACACTTCTGGAAATTCTGATCTAATACAACCACTGGTGCTGAAAAATCAGAAACGACAGCAGAACAAACGAGAACGGAGCAGAAGGGCTTCAGACGAGTGCAGCTGGGTTTCAATTATAAGTTCAAGTGCTATTTTTTTGTGCCTATACATATGCTTTTAACTTATTTTAGAATAGCTTTTTGCTTGAAACAGATTTTATCACGAGTGGCACCCTACATGCAGGGCTTCAATAAGCTGTAACCTAGCAGGGAATAATAATAAAAATCCTTTCCTGTCAGTAATTCCCTTTATGTGTTCTGGAAATGCATTTACTGGTTCAGAAGACTGATTTTATGTATTTTGAGCTGAGCTGCTACAAAGTTAGTAGACATGTAGTCGGGTTGTAATTAACAATGGTGTATTTTGTCTTGACACTGCTCTGTTTGATTTTCCACATCGTAGGTGTGATTCTCCATTCATGATGGACATTTTGTTATCACAGGTGTCAGTTAGGTAATTGTTAACTCATCAAACTGCAAACACACACTCATTTAGTCAACAACACATGTGTCATTTGAAGGTTGACAGTTGTATTCCTGTCCTGTATAGATCCTGGCTACATGGAGTGAAAATCATGCATTTTAGATTTGCAATAAAGACGCAATGTCTTTATGCCAAATGCATTATTTGTGATTCGTTTGTGTAAACAGTGAATGCATGATGGATATAACTGTAACATACTGTCATAGCCTGCTGTGAAGTGGCTAATTTTACTGTTCGGCATCCCATCAACAGACCAACATACGCATACCAACATCCTTAGGGAGTCAATTCTAAGTTTGGGTGTTGCTAAGTCTTGCTAGGAAATCCAATACCCCTCATTGTCCCCAGGACGCAACACTTCACATATGACATTTGAAGACGGAGCATCAACAGCGTGGTTGATCTCACACAGATATCATATTCGTATTATGCTGATGAATGTGTGCGTGTTAAAGTGAAAGTTGACTGTATTTGCAAAGTGTGAAGCTAAACATGCTAAGTGTGAGGTGTTTAGCGCTGCAGGGTCCAGGCAGAGATTCAGACAAATAAAAAGTAGCTCACAATGAATTCAGTCTTGCCGTCTTTTAGAGAAGGTTGACACGGCTGGCTGCAGGGAAAGGTGACATTCGTCCAAAATAACCACTGGCCATTGTGTTGTGTTCTGTAGCTATGAGCGTGTGGCCAGGTGATGTCACTCAGATCTGCCTTTGTCAGCTGAAAGCTCGGAGGCCAGAACAGCAGTTGTCAAAAACCTGAATGCCCGAGGTCAGCCAAAAGTTGAGCGTGTTTAAGCAACGTGTTTAAACAAAGCATTGCAGCTATGCAAACTGTTCCAAATGCACAGAGGAAATGTTGAAATGGTTTCTGCTAATCCTACCAAATTAATTAATAGATCAGAAGACCTTTAAAGAGGTAGAATCCTGGCTTCCTCTCACTATTGCAATTATATCTTTTGCCTGCATGTGAACTGAATGATTTGTGTAATCACACCTCTGACCTTTTATCCATAATGCTAAAATGAACAGTCATAAAAACTTATGGCAGCAGAGTAGATTGGATCAGAGCTGTGTGTGTGCAACAAAGGCAATTTAAGGATGAATCATATGAACCCCTACCACAGTTCTGTTTATACGTTTTGCATGATCATACTGTCTACCAAACAAGTTCAGTAGTCTGAAAAAGGGCATTGTTTTTCATAGGAGTTTATGCAAATAATCTTTTCACAATTGCTGCATTATGCTTCCAAATTTTCCATATAGTCTATAACAAGCCATATAGTATTAGACGTTGTATAACATGCTTTGTTTGTTTCTGTCAAATGAGTTGGCCACAACTGGTTGTATATCAACTTTTTGAAGCATATTAGCTTGTGTTTTAGTGACATATTTTAGCCATTTCCTTAAAGGCCTAAACATGAAGTATGAGAAATAATACATGGCAATGAGTTTTACTTAAAGTTTCTGTTTCAAAAGTCAAAGTTCATGACCAATAATCCAGGTAAAAAAAATCCAACAAAGTTGTCTGGTCCTATATATTGTTTCTTTTAGTTGAATTGTTTCGTCCTTCATCCAAGGGACTTCATCAGTATGAGGAGCCACAACAAACTCAGTCCCATAGCACACTCACATAGTGGACCAACCAGTTGATGGTGATAAGATAGTTTCTGGAGTCCACCCTCTCCCCCGTCAACTCCTCTGAGGGAGCCATGGCCAAAGTGGTTCAAAACATCAAAGTTCATTCTCGATAATCCTCCTCCTCGGACTGATGAAGTCTTTTGGATGAAAAATGAAACGTTTCAACACAAAGAAGCTGTCCAGAGGACCCAACAATTTTCAGTCAGGTCAGAGGACCTGACTTAACTTTGTTGGGTTTCTGTTTCAAAGTTATTTTAAAAAATGCCACTGTTTAAATACAGATTAAATGGGTTTAAAAAAGCAAGTTTCTTTTGGCTGCTCCCTTCTTTAGGGGTTGCCACAGTGAGCAAACTCACATGAAAGATTTGGCTATTGTTTTACCCCAGATGCCCTTCCTGACACAACCTGGGCTCAAACCTGCAACCTCAGTACCCTGAAATAGTCTGTTAAAATATTTTGGGACACTTGGCAGCCTTTTGAGTCATATGTTGCAAACATGATATAAAAATGTATGTATGGCTGCTCTGGTGTGGGAGCAGATTTTGTTCTCTGTTCTTTTTTCTTTCTTTTCTATTTTTTTGTGTGTTCAAAAAACAACAAAAAAAATCAATAAAAATACTTTGATTAAAAAAAAGGAATAGGGCAATTGCAATGACCACCAAGTTACCGCAGCCCCACACAGTTTAATGTGGTCTGGTTAAAAAATAAAGTATTTATGAAATGAATTATGCTTGGGCTGCTCAGCTGTGGAACAATATAATCACATTTTTACTTTGCTCAATATTATAATCACAATTGTTGAAAACAATTTTTCATTGAGCTTTTTCCACTTTAAGAGCATTAGTTGAATGGAAGTTGAACTTTTCCTTAAAGTGACTGACAAAGTATTTATTTAAATGAGGCTACCGTGTAAAATAACACACACAAATAAATAATAGTAATACAGATCAATGAAATCTTAAATGCTCAGTAAAGTGCTTAAAAGTAATAATTTCAATCACATATAAGTAAACATGTATTTTTGTAAAAGAAAGAACGTGTCTTTTATGTGAGTGAAAATTTATATGATTTATTTGCTAAATATTCTATAAGGTGTGTTTATTATTTTTACTGTATATTTTTTACTGACTGAACTATTAGATATGATGTTATAAATTTTCCGTGATTTTATTTACTCCTTTTAGTTCGTCTTAGTTTTCTTTTTGTGGTTTATGTTTCATTTTTGTCCTTTAGGTTCTGATGTGTTTTCCTGTTCAGTTAAGTTCTTTTGTATTTTATCGTTAAGTTCTGTTTTAGTATTCAGGTTTAGGTCTTGTTTTGTTTCCTGTGTTTTTTGTGCCATTTCCCATTTGTTAGTCTGCCTCCCTAATCTGTTCCCAGTTAGTAATCAGCAGGTGTTCCCACTTTGTTTGCTGTATAACCAGTCTCCAGTCACTGCCTCACCAGCAGCTCATTGTATTTGGTTAACCATATGTCCTGGTCCTCCCTGTGTTTCCTTGCTATGTGTTCTTTTATTTTTTTTTAATTTGCTGCCACATGAGCTTTTTGTTTTGTTATTTAAATATGTTTTTTTTTTTTTTTTAACTCGAGCACCTCTGAGTCAGTCTGCGTTTGGGTCCTATCCACCAATCATGACATGAAGTACTTGGGTTAACAATAAGGGGAAAGATGGTTAAGTACGTATTACCCTCTTTTAAAATTCACTCAATGTTGAGTCTGTGCATTTGTTTGTGTAAAATTGTCATTTACCTTTGTTTTTTGTGTATATCTTTCAGTGCATTGAGTTTATATGTATATTAATCAAATGTGTATCTCTTTGTCATGAGAAATGAGTGACATGTGTTAAATTGCCATATCCTTTAACTTTAGTTTTTACACAAGTGCTGTATTTTTTGGTACAATAGACCAGCTGTTGCTGAAGGGCTTCCTCATTTTGGTCACTATGTGGCCATTCGTAGGGGTCCGATGGTCCATATGGTTTCTCTCTGTCGGGTCATGGCTAAAGCCCAATAGAATAAATGTTTAGAGGTGAAAGCATAGTGCTCGGTGCTACTGATACAACCACCAATGCACTTTAGCAGAATAATTAACAAAAAGCTCTTGTGTGCTCGTCTTTGTTAGCTTGATTACAGAAAACATTGCCTGTGTGTGTTTATCACTGATGAATTTGTGTTTACTAAAAATAAGAACAGAGGCAAAAAAAATATTGTTTTCTAAAATTATACTTAATCACATACTTGGGTGTCTGTCAGTCAGTGCCATGCCACGGCACGTTGAGTGGTGCTGTTACCATGGAAACAGTGCTCCAATTGAAATGGCCCTCTGCAGCAAATTTTTGAGTGCAATATTTCTATTTTTGTTTTGTTGCTTAGTATCTGTGATCTTCTGAGGCATCAGAGTTGATGTGACCTGAAGGAAATCTTTACATTATAATCGTTTTGTCTGATTTCAGAGTCTCAATGAAAATGGATATTTTTGCATGTGCTTTGCTACTCGCATTGCGGTAGTAAAGCAAATGGCATACATTGTTTTTGTCTATTCATTTATTTATTTGTAGAATGAAAAAAAAAAAATATATATATATATCATAATAATGTTCACATTTTGCAAAAATCTATTAAAACAGATCAGCAGAGAAAATAGTTACTTGAGTTTACCGGTAAGACAAACAAGCCTATGAACACACAATTTCTGCATTTCATTAAAAGAAGTGTGAATATGTAACATTTGGGTTGCAGCTTTACAAAAACCTCAATTGAAATGGAATTGCGTAATCAAGTGACGACAGCAGAGTCTAAAAAAGCAGCTCGCTTTATTATCTGCCAAGGTAGCATCTTTTCATCAAAAAGAGAAGTTGAACGCTCTCCAGAGAGTCAGGAATAATATGCTGCTCAGTCATTATTAGTGAAATGGCTTTCAATCACACTTTGAATGCCAGGGGTCAGGATAAAACCTCGATGGAATAAATGAATCCAGCATGATTTACTGCTCCAAATTCATCAAAGTACTTATCACTCCTTGCACTCCTGAGCCCAAATCTTTGCCTTCCATAAAACCAAGTTCACCTTTACAATTGGAAGCCAGATTTATTTTCATGTTGTAGACAAAGAGAGGATGTAAAGAAATGGTTCAGACCTTAAGATCTGAGATTCGACTGTGGTGTGTGAACACCATATAGATGTGACGGGATGTGGTTTGCTGACACGCCTCACTCTTACCAAGCAAGCTTGTAAAAGAGTAGGCAGGTACAAACGTTCTTTAAAGAGATATGCAGTTGCAGCCCGAGTTAAAATACAGTGCAATGGCCAGGAGGGGGGGTGGGGGGACCCTGGATGGGCAACACAAGACATTTAATGTATTCATCTTTAGCTAACTGAACCTAAACATTAAAGATATGAGAACTGCATCTTTTGTACATTCATTTTAAAGATCAGGCAAACGGTTGATCATCTCTGCTACAGACATGTTAAATAGAATTTTAATCACTTACCACATCTTTTAAAAAAAAAAAAAAAAAAAAAAACGTTTTAAATTGGTTTTAAGAATAAAATTTTAGCCCTGCTGAAAACTTAGCACTACTTTTAAATCCCCTTTATGTATTAATATAGTAGAACTAGAAAAAAATAAAATAAATAGTGCCTTTTTAAAACCCCATATGACCCAAACAAAATCAGTATTTTATTCTCATGAGCCAGCTTTTAAACTAATCTAATGCTCTGTATGATGTGCTTTAATGTTAATATAATTGAAATGTTAATGTTTTCTGTTGGAATCAAAATGCCTCTCTGGGGAGACGCTACTTTGTCTTTAAAGGCAATTACATGTACAAATGCAGTACACCAGGCGTGCACTACACTACTGTGCTATTTGAGATTAAACGTGTAGTCTGGAGGCTTGCTTCCTGTGGGAGATCCACACAAAGGAGAGCTGTTTCAGCTCAGAGTGAGATGTCAAAATCCCACTGACATGAACATTGAGACCAAGCACTTGCCTCTAATTTTACTCTTCTCATCATTTCTCCCATTTCCATATGCAGATGAGCATATGTTTGTATTTCTGGAGGGTAATGACGGAGCTGTTTAGCAGGATTGGATTGAGTTCATTGTGTTGGATTTGCTCGGCGCTTTCTGGGGTAAGTGAAGCTCAGGAAGAGGATTGTCAAAAGGTAATGAGGGAATAAAAACAGACGCTGACCATATTTGCACTTTTTATGTTAACAGGACACAGAGCAGTGGAGGATTTAAAAAAAATGCAACAGTTACACACTTGAGGACATTTCAGAATATCCAGAAATATCTATTCTTGGTACACTATATATATGTTTTGAATAACAAATGGGACTAGCACTGTATAGTTTTCACTTGATGTGACGTCTCAGTCCCAGAGCTTTCGTCTTTACTTAAAATCAGAGTTTACCTGTGACCTTATTATCGCGGCTCTCTGCAGTAACTTGGTGAAACTGAAAAGTTTTCGTAGCCTCTGCGTGGAAACATATTAGTTTGTGGTTGTTTGTCTGTGATCGGCTTCAAAAATGTCCTCATCTAAAGTCATAAGACATCGGTGAAGGGGGAGCTCAGGGTTAGCAATCACCCAGTCAAAGTCGCACTGAATGTCACTGTCTGTGTTGGTTTGCTCCATTTTCTTCACAGACCACGCATCAGGGGAATCGTCCCACATTTTATTCTTAGCATTTACTCCCTCCAGGCCCCAGCAGTGATTTTCTTGATGTGAGAATACCAAAGCTTTATGGTTCGTCTGTTACACACATTGATCGGAGACCACCCACCGCCTATCCCCTACCTCTCCCTTTAATGTCAACGGTTGAAACTCCCCAATGCACAGAAATGCATGGTCCTTCGTATGTACAATATAGCCATGCAGTCACTAAAACTGGGCCATATACGGAGGATTTGCACATACAGAGCCCCCACTGTGACTGTCTTACACAAATACACAGACTCATTCACACTTGATTGACCCCATGATGTGTGCTGCAGGTGTGTGAAGTGAGTCCATTGCCAAGAACGCTCCTGCATCCATTGATTGCTCTGATCTGTTCGCTTTCATCCCTACAGAGTTCACTGCTTTTGCCTTCAGTGTCATGGTGACATGTAAAGACACACGTGGCGTCACCGTCATGTGTTTTAGACAGATTTTCATTCTTGAAATAGATCAAACTTTTTGTCTCTTTCTACCTGTTGGCTCTTCAGTTCTGTTTGCCTAACTGTCAATTTCTACCACAATGCTACCAAAAGATCTTTCATCCTCTAAGGAATAAATACTTTAATTTATTGATTGTCTATAATGACAGCAATTTAGATAATGAACACATTTAAGTGTTTTAACTTTGAATGTAACATATGATTCACCTATAGAGCCCATTGATGTTTAATGTTTAATTCTTATAGAGAATTTTGATAAAGATAAAGAAAATGTTTGACTGATCAACTCAAGGCTTTAAAGGCTGTAGACCTGAAATCATAGTTTAAATATAATTTCATATGCAGGATTTTACACTAACCTTTCTCATCCCATGTAAACTGAGGGTGTTGTAACCCTTAATAATTAACTTTTTTTTAAATCCAAATTTAAAAAATCCTACATGCATTAATTTCAACAAACTTTTAAAAAACAGTTTTTTTTTATAACATAATTTGAGATATTAACCCTTATAGTGCTCAGATCATTTTTTATTTTATTTTCTGGCATTCTGATACGTGTGATGGCCAAGGTTGTTTCAAGGTCACATTAGTCAATGATTTATTTTAATATTTTTTAACAAAGCTTGGAAATGTTCTTTTTTACACATCAAGCCCTGCTCCAACCTAAAAAAAAAAAAAAAATAAAATAATGTAAATGTCAGGACTTGTTAGAATATTAAACTTTTAAATTGGACTGTTGACTTTTCTCTTTTACTCGTTAATATAAAAACACTCTCTGCATCTTGAAACTCACATTAATGATGTCAAGTTTTGTTAACTTGAAAGGTAGAACCACCTTAACATCATTCCAGGTTTGAAAACAGGCTCCATGCTGTTGCATCCAGTCCAATTGGATTTCTTGAATGAAATTTTGCAGAACTTACAAATTAATTTGTCTTTTTTTCCCTCCAGTAGATCAAATTTATCTTGAAATGTGTTTGCTACATTTGTAAATGGCACATCTTGAACATATGGTCTATAAATTCTATAAATACTCCATCTAAAATGACCTTCTGATGTGGTCTAAGATGGAGAAAGATAACCAGCTACATAATGCTGTAAAATGGAAAGGGTCTCCGTGGAGAGACGTAAACCTTGAGTGCAGGAAAGAGCTAAAGCCAAAGTGCTCTCTGACAGTAGGTATTGTCAACTTGAACACACCACTCCCTTCCTTTTCTCAGCACGCCCAGGAAAACGAGCACGTCAGATTCATAGCTAGCTGCAGCGTCTGACTTGGCTATCATGACGCTCGGCCTTTATTGCTGAACAACACAGAGGACATGTCACGTCCTGGCAGCAAACGCATGTGAAAGAAAAGCATTGCCCATCAAACCCACTCAGACGCAGCTCTGAGGAGAATTCAGTTTCATCGAGTGACATTTAATTAAGTCAAAACTTGTCTTCTCATCCTTTCGTGTGCCACGGTTCCTGGCAGGCATCGTGAAAGCACAGGGTGAAGTGGTTTTCTGGTTATGTAATGGCTTCAGAAATGGATGTGTGTGTGAGGCAAGTTAGCATTCTGTCTGTCTCACAAAAATTAAAATAAAATGACACACGCGGAGGTAAAAGAGGGAAACTGAATCACGCTGCTGCTTTGGTTTAAATTATTTTCTTCGTGATTATGAAATGCACTTCATCAAATGAAACTTGGACTCGTATTTTTATTCTGGTTCATACACTTGAACAGACATTTTAATTTAATTTAATTTAATTTAAACCCTTGATTATATTTGACTAAACATCACATCTGGATAAGATCCTGATGGACTTTATGAAACTTTCATACAAAAACTTTTTCGTGATAATTTTGGTTTGAAAAATAAAAACTTGCAGGAAAGAACATTGTTGTTTGAAAGTTTGACTCCCTTATTGTAAGTTTTTGAGTAAATCCAGTTGGACTGTACAATTCTTGAAAAAATATGAATCGTGCTTTTTATTGGTGTAAATTGAAATAAATTCTTTTACACAATTCTATCCCTATTTTTTTTTTAACTTCCACACAAGTAAAATGGTCATTTCTAGACTGGACATATGTATAGTAATTTAGAAATATTTCCTATTTGACCCTAAATTTTATTTCTACAAAAATAATTGATAAGGTTCTATTAATTTTAACACTACAATAGCCATTGAAATTCCAAAATAAGAGTAAAATCCCCCCACAGCCTGCATGGCATACACTCAAGTAGATTTGACAGCTTATATGTTTATGCACGACACAGACTTTAAATTTATTTTACAGATGCTGCGCTACGGCTTTGTGTAAAACGATGACATGACAAATTGTTTTGTTTCCAATCGACTGCGTACCCTTTAAGTTCACAAAGCTTTGTGTTGAAACCTGCTGTCGCTGAGCGAGTGTGGGTGGTGTCAGTTTTAAGCATATCATCTGCCAGCACACGCATGCACACACACACACGTATGTCCCGCCTGCCTGTACTCATTTTGGCATTTAAGGCCAGAGGATAATGGTGTCGGTGTGTGTAAGGTTTGCCTGCGTGTGTATTGGTTTGTGTGGGCTACTAAACCTGCCTTCAGGGTGCGTGTGTGCGGGATGTATGTGTGTGCAGCCAGACACATGGCATGTGTGCAAGCAAGTCTGAGAACCACCTGAGCCCTAGCGTGTTTGTGTGTGTACGTAAATATCCATGTGTGTGCCTGTAGGTAGGTGGGCTTCCTTGAGGGTGATGTCCTCACTGCTGCACCTGTCACCGGGTGCTGATGGTTGAGCTCGCTATTCTTATCGACTTCACTCTAATTGGTTGTTATTGTCCTGTCACTTCATTTTGCTGAAAGTGTTCTGTTGAAATGCATCTCCTTTTGGTTTGAACGCTAGTCTTTGCAGCAATTTGGTTTATTTATTTCGTGTGCAGCTCTGGGTTTTCAATCCCATTTAAGTCTTGGAAGTTTATGCCGTTACATCGGTTTCTGCAAATGTGAAAACTACACTTCTGTCTTGTGAGATGAACTGGGTAGCAATCAGTTTTTGATGGAGAACTTAAAAAAAAATATATAGGCAAGAATGATGGGTTTGTTAGGCTCTGACAGACCAAACAATGCTGAATAAATGTAGTCTAGCATTTGTGTGTGTGCGTGTGTGTGTGTGAGCATTTCTTGGAAGTGCTTGAGGCTAATTTAATTGATCTAATTTGTGCCCTCTTGTTTTCTCTCTCCTTTGTCATGACCCAGAAAGTGATCACAGCAAGGAAACTCAAAATGCACCAGGAAAACGGAAGATAAGAAGAGCTTTAGGTGAGAATAAACACTCGTATTAGGAAGTCTTTCCTGCACGTTGCTAATCCAAGTAATATGAATCAAAAGGTTTGTGTTCTTACAAACACTGAGAGCTACAGTGGTTTTCTGCTACAAAACAATGGTTGTATAAGCAGACACAGGCAGATTGTAACCAGCCTATTGGTGTGAAGCTGAACGTCAGTGTTTTTTTATCGATGGATGTCTGTCTGCAGCACTGCTGTGTGAAGCTCTACACTGAACGAGACAAAGATGATTTTAGTTGTACTGCTGCAAATGAGTCAAATGACTCATTTTTATCGATTGGTTCTATTTTTTTTTTACAATTCTGCATTTTGTTGTACTTCTTCTTTTTTTGCGTGTGATTCATCTCACTCCCTTCCCTGATGTCGACTACCTAGCATGTGTTGCTTGGGAAAAATATATAAAGCATTGAAATTGTTTTTTACAGCAGCATTTACTCAAAAGCCATTTAAAACGTAGTCTTCAATTCCAATACTTTCATATAACAGTTGATGTTATAATAGTTATGACTTGTTTGTTTATACGACTGGCATGCTTATTTTATGCATTTATTAAAACTTACGATGAATTTGTCCTCGTAGGTTGGTGCATTGTGGTCTTTGGGGGTATTTTGCAGTAAATAATTTATACATTTCTTGAAATGTCATCTGCTTTGACACTAAGAAAAGCTTGCCTGTGCAGACGTGAATGCTAAAAATAGACTTTAAAACCCTCCTCTGCTAAACCGGAAGAGTCTATATTTAACTCATAAGTCTGGTTAGCATGATAAATGAGAGACATGCATTCCCTATTGCATTACGATGGCACTGTTAGACTCTCATCTGGCCTAAAATTGGTTTCAAGATCTGATCAATAGATTGTAGAGCTGGGAAGGTCATCAATATCTCTGCAATCAAACCGCAGTGAAGCTGTAGAGCTCGGCTGCTGTATTCTTTTTTTTGGGATGATAGCTTCAGTACCCAGTAAGATTTATTTGCATCCTTGCTGCTGACGCACTTTCTTTATTTTGTTAGCTATTATAAATTGGTTCATTACATATTAGAGGCACCCCACCTTCAAAGTATAAGAGTTTTAACGAGGTTTAAAAGAGGCTTTCTTGTTGCGTTTAGGTCATTTTATTCACGGTCAAATTTAAAGATCCACACCTGGCAGCAAACACAAACTCCAGTCACAGGGAAGTGGTTTGAAAGACTAAATTCAAGGCAATTTGTGTGTTTATGGGAATATTTTGTTTACTTCAGGCTGCTGAATGAAAGCAGATTCAGCTAAATATGTTGGTTTATAATATAGAATTTAATTATTTATAGTTTGGACTTTTTTTTTTTTTACATTTTTTTATGTAATGCTGTGTTTAGTTGGATACTAGAGTTTTAATTTCCAGGGATGCTGTAGCTTGGATTGCCAGCGCTGCGGTCCTGTAGTCCTTTGGTTGTGAGTTCGATCCCAGGCTGTGTCAGTAAAGGGCATCTGGCTTAAAAAAGGCAGTATTTCATGCAAGTGTACTCGCTGTGGTGACCCCTGCAAACCTGAGCAGACAAAATGAAAACTAGTTTATATAGTGATAAAATGCATAGTTTCTTTCTTCACATTTTTCTTTACCAGTCTGAGTTTGGAGAAGACGCTGCAGTTTTGCATTTTCCAACGTTGCAGCACGAGTTTGACTTGGACAAAGTTACAACCTCTTGGTCCACTCGTTCTTCCTCTCAACATCAGTACCTACAAAAATAAGGCAACATTTCAAATGGAATTTCTGAACATAAATTTAAATTGTAACTATTAAAAACAGTTTAATAAAGATAAACCTTCCCTAGGTGGTTATATAAATATTACTAATTGTTTTTACAGTAGTTACTAAATTTTTTTTTCATACAATCAGATAACAGATTACATATTTTTATTTTTTTATTTCTTCTTTTGGCTGCTCCCTTCAGTGGTTGCCACAGCGAACTAACTCGCATGAAGACTTGGTACCGTATTTTTCAGATTATAAGGCGCACTTAAAATCCTTTAATTTTCTCTAAAATCAACAGTGAGTCTTATAATCTGGTGCACCTTATATATTAATTCTGGTTGTGCTTACTGACCTCGAACCAATTTTATGTTGTACACGGTGCTCAAAAATCTATCAAAATGTTTTAGTTTTGCTTAATGTGCCTTTTATAATCCAGTGCGCCTTATATTCCGAAAAATACGGTAATAGTTTTTACACCGGATGCACTTCCTGACAGACAACTGAGCCACCACAGCCCTCTGTGTGGAGCATAGAACTGCCATCTAGGGCATCCAGGGGAGCAGATGGTCGGGGTTAAGGGCTTGCTCAAGGGCCCAGAGTGGGACAATGATGGTGGAGACAGGTGTTTAGATAGGTGTTTCACCTTTCCCACCCATATTTTTGATGATGTCAGGGTTGAAGAAGAGACCATCAGGCCCACCTTCTCTAACCACTGCGCCACCATTCCCCCAACAGATTATTATTTTTTTTTTTTTACCCTTTATTTATACAGGTAGTCTCATTGAGCCACGAGAACTCATTTTCAAGAGAGACCTGCTTAGGGAGCAGATGGGGGTTAAGGGTCTTGCTCATGAGCCCAGAGTGGGGCGAATGAGGGTGGTGGCAGGTGTGGGTGCTTCACATACCCCACCCACATTTTATATACAATACATACATACATACATAGATAGATAGATAGATAGATAGATAGATAGATAGATAGATAGATA